TTCTTTTAGCAGAGATGAGGCTGTTGGGCTTGATCAGTTATACAAAGGTTACCAGCAAGCATGCAAGCTCTGTTGGGCTTTACCTCCTTTCCCTTCTTCTAGCAGAGATGAGGCTGTTGGGCTTGATCAGTTATACAAAGGTTGCCAGCAAGCATGCAAGCACTGTTGGGCTTTACCTCTTTTCATTTCTTCTAGTAGAGATGAGGCTGTTGGGCTTATTCAATTATACATAGGTTACCAGCAAGCAAGCACTGTTGGACTTTACCCCTTTCCCTTCTTTTAGCAGAGATGAGGCTGTTGGGCTTGATCGGTTATACAAAGGTTGCCAGCAAGCATGCAAGTGCTGTTGGGCTTTACCCTTTTTACCTTCTTCTAGCAAAGATAAAGCTGTTGGGCTTGATCAGTTTTTCAAAGGTTGCCAGCAAGCATGCAAGCACTGTTGGGCTTTACCCTTTTTCCCTTCTTCTAGCAGAGATGAGGCTGTTTGGCTTGATCAATTATACAAAGGTTGCCAGCAAGCATGCAAGTGCTGTTGGGTTTTACCCTTTTTCCCTTCTTCTAGCAGAGATGAAGCGGTTGGGCTTATTCAGTTACACAAAGGTTGCCAGCAAGCATGCAAGTCAAGCGCTGTTGGGCTTTACTATTGGCAAACTGAGTGTCCTGAATTCATCCTGTATTAATACTTATAAAATAAAACTTTCATACAAATAATTTAAAAATGATATAAACATCTCAAAATGTGTAACCTAAAAAATAGGAAAATGCTAATTGCTAACTGCGATTTTAGCAATTGTTATGTTAAAACCATAAACCGAAAACTATGCTTCGCTGAGAGTTCCAGGTAATTCTTTTTGCAGTATTAAGCATTGATGATCTTTCATTATTGCAGGCCATAAATTGTAAGTTAAATAGAATTCATCTTTTGTGTTCTTAAACTAGCCATGTGTTGTGTACACATGTGTGCATATGTATGTGTGTGTGTAGGTATGCTGACATGTAGTGTGAGCACAAGGCGGAAGTTCCTATGGTTTATTATTTAGGGATTGTGCTGAGTGCTTCAGTACTTGTATGAACATGTGACAGTTGCTCGGAACTGAGCTGTAATTACATTACCAGTTAAGCTGTTGCTTCCAGCATCTCATCTGAACAAGGAGAGTGAAATGCCTACTCTGAAAGAGGATACAGTACTTGGACCCATTCAATTACTACACCTTTAATTATCTTGAAGAAGAACAAGTATACCTTCTCTTTGTCATCCCTAGTACATTATATTGCCCCCTTAGGACATGTCACATAGACTGAGTGAAAGCTAGCCTTTGTATTCATTACTTATATTCACAGCAAAAGTGCTGCAGGTCTCCTCTCCACTAAACCTAGGTCAAAAGGGTACAGACCTCCTACATCCAAAGTCTTTATAATTAAGCTGTTCATGCTTTTTTGAGTGGGATTTATTGCTGCCTACTTTGTAGGATTACAAAAAAAGCACAAAGCAACACAATGTCATATTACCACTTCATGTTTCCATCTGTGGGGTATTAAATGACACTTTCACAAGTCGACTATGGAGAGAACGACAGAGAGGTTGATAGGTTCAAGTCAGATACACAATTCTTTTCACTCTCAGAAAACTGCAGATATGTCCTTTCTTTTGTAGGATGTAAAATCTGTCTTTGCATATCAAATTTCATTGCACTAGAGTGTAAGTGTCACAGTCCCTTAGCAGCTGAAAACCTCCACCACCCAGGCGGAGTACAAGATATATGCTAAAGCAGCATTTGAAAGTTCAAAATCCCTCCAAGTGTCACCTTTGTGTCCAAATAAAGGTGTCCTTTTATGAAACAGAGATCAGCGGCGATCCTAAGGATCATTGCTGATCTCAGATCATTAGTGGTTTAGGAAACAGAGATGTTCTCCGCTGATAATCTCAGCACACAGATGGGCAGTGTATGAAGGAGCGATATCAGCTCTTCACTGGTGATCTGTGTTCTCCCTCCAGATTCTCCAGCCCAGAGGTGGAGAATTGGTGGAACCGCAAACGAAGCAGCGATAATTTACCACTGCTTAGAAAACGGTGTTTGACTGATCTTACTGTAATCTCACGAGATTACAGAAACAGCAGCCGTTTTCTAGTGTTCAAAGCCTTTGTAGATTGCTTCTCTCCTCATTCAGAGAAGCGATCTACACTGCTGCATGATAAAAGGACACCAAAGTGCATTCATTCAATCACCGTTTTCTTTAAATTCATGATAGAAATTTCTCTGCCAGATATTCAATCTCAAAAAACAAAAGAAAAAAGAAAAACCTATATAGTGTAATACAAATTTACTCCATAAGTGTAATAAATATTCACATATTGTGCTCACATTATAAAAACATATGTAGATGTTTCAAATTGCACTCAAAACTCACCTATACGGGGTTAACTGATCTTGCAACCCATAGTGATCCACGGGATCAGCTTCAGCGGTTTGCAGCTCTGTGCTAAAGTCAGAGATCGGCTTCTTTGGCCTGAAACCGGCACATGCGCAGTTGCTTCAGCAGATACATATCTTCAGGGGATACTCATTTTACAGCTACACCGGGGGCAGCTGTCACTGTGCCAGGAATCTGGGATCACCCCAATCACTGCCCAGGACCTTCAAAGAGCCCAGAAGCTCCGCTGGCATCCTGCACCCCCTGTGATTGTGTCACCTGGTGTGGCCCGCACCCCCCTAGGGACACCACTGATCAGGGGCGGACTGACCATTTGGAAACTCAGGCACTGCCTGAGGGCCCGGGGTCAGTAGGGGGCCACATGAGATGCCCCTGGTACCTTTTTCATAGGCTTTTTTGAGTTTGGGCAAGGGCACAGGGGCCCCTTGATCACCTATTGCCCGGGGGCCCCATGAGTTGTCAGTCCGCCTCTGCCACTGATACAAAGCAAAGTCTCCCTGCAAGCTGAGAAGGATGTGCACCAAGGAGGCACTCTTTTCAACATTAATTTGATTAAACTTTTTTTTAGTTTTACTGGTCAAACTGGATGGACATTTGTCTTTTTCAGCCAGACTAACTATGCAACTAAAAACTAAAAAAAAAGTGATAATTCTTCTTTGGGCACACAAAGTTTAATTGAATATATGCTTTAATAGCTACAAACCTTTGCATGCCCAGCTATCACCTTGTACAAGTAGCAATGAGATCATCACTGTGCTGCACATAGTGTATGCAGAGAGCAGAGCTGTGAGAGGAGCCCAGTCATTCCATCTACTACAGGCTGACTGCAGAAAATTATAGGAGGGGGCGGAGACCAGACCAGTCACCCTGCACAAGGAGAGAGAGAGCAGCATTGACTGGTCTGCATTACATGAAGCTCCTGAGGCAAAGTGCATGAGTTATTCCATGCTGGATTACTGCACAGATCTGAATGAAATGGACCCCACATTTTTTTTTCAAGTAGAATTAAAGTAAAGTAAAATATAATAAAAATGTAATAAAAGAAAAGGAGAAAGAGGAGGCACTTCTAAGTGCAATACATTTAGAAGCGTCTCTTCTTTCTCCTTTCTGCTGCTAGAGCCTGGTTTTCCTCTCCTGAAGTGCTGCTGCAAGTGTTTGCTGCTTATCTACCTCTCCCCACTTCCACATGGCTGCTTCCAATCTACTCACATGACTGCTTTGGATCTTCATGGTCTTCGTTACCAGAGTGCCCTGCATACCATAACAATTAAAATGTAATAAAGCTTCTTCTTATATAATAGTGTAGCTCTTACCCCTGAAGGAGTCACTTGATGATTCGCTCTTCTTGTGCCCACAACGCTGTGAACAGCTCTGTTCTCTCTGACACACCTGGCTGGCCTGAGGATGCAGACACCTGTGTGTATATAGATATACTATATGTATATCCCCAAACAGCAGAAAATTACACCAAACAGAGCAGTGGCAAAGTGTAATGCAACAGGTGTGAGTAAGAAAAACTATACAGTGATAAATCGGATTGTTGTATTGGATTTATACTAGATTGTTTCACCATCAAAAGCTATAACAACAATCAAACAACAGAAAGTAGTAGTTAACCGATATAATCAACAGGGTGCAAGCAGTGAATACTTAATAGTATATCTCTTTCTTTAACGACCTCTGAGGTTAGTGCATCTCTTTCTTTAACGACCTCTGAGGTTAGTGCAGCAACAGTCAGCAATCAGTAGTGCAAGTATAATAAACTGTCTGCTGGCCAGCTCATTAGGGCCCAAAACCTTGTGCTGGAGTTTGTGCATACAATGGCCAGCAAATCTGTCCGTCTGGTAGTAACTGCAGTATATGGTTGGCTAGGGGCAGGACAAGTCCTGTGCAAGCAGAAGCTTTCCATCCAAGTGATAGGCAAAAGGGCCTCTCTCTCTCTCTCTCCTCTTCCCAGCCAACCTGTGGTAATAGATCAATCTCTTCAGCAAACTACAATCCCCACAATCCTCCATGATTTCCCTCAAAATCTTTTGTAATCCATGGAGGGCAGAATAAACACTGGCTGTAACAGTTCCACAGTAAGAGTCTCTGTCATGGTTGTGTCTGTTTAGAAATCCCATGTGGGCATACACAAAGAAAGAAGCAGCAGCAGAGTGAGACTGCAATTGCTCCTCTCCTACCAGTTACACTAAACCCACAACAGTAAAATCAGTCTGTATATGCAGTAAAGCATGTTTGATCCTTTCTTCTGTGATCCTCCCCTTCTTCCACAGCCCCCAGTCCATCTGCTGATAGTTCAGAGCCCCAGGAGGCACTCTGGACATGCTCAGTTTGCTGTGTATTGTTAGTTTTTTTTTTCTCTGGGAGGGTTCATGTGATCGGCACAGGCTCAATCAGCACTGTCCAGACAGAGGGTCAGGGGTCATGCAGCCTCATAGGGTAGTCAGAGAAGAATGAAAACTCCGACTACAAGCTTAGTTTAACCAGTGCTCAGAGAACACTGATAGAAGTCACAAGATAGCTCGAACTGCTGATGAGAAGAGGTATTTAGCAGTTTATATTTACTAAAATAATCGCATTTCCATATTGTGTGTACTGTGGGAGACCAGATATAGTGAATGCAGGGTCCGGGGAGACCAGATATAGTGAATGCAGGATCTGGGGAGACCAGATAGAGTGAATGCAGGGCTCCGGGGAGAACAGATAGAGTGAATGCAGGGTCCGGGGAGACCACATATAGTGAATGCAGGGTCCGGGGAGACCACATATAGTGAATGCAGGGTCCGGGGAGACCACATATAGTGAATATAAGGTCCTGGGTTTAGTAACACTTTAAGTACTAAGCTACAATAACATTATAACTTATGAAGGATCTCTTTTTCTAAAGTGACCCTGTCACTAAAATCAAAGTAACTATAAACGTGTACCCTGCAAAGACCTGTAAATACCTAGTCCTGGTCTCCTGCTGCACTCAGTAGTTCTTCCCACTGACCCTTATGTCATACTGTGTCATGTAGTAATGTAGAGGATGGCAGGAGGAACCCCTAAGCTCAGCAGTGGATCAGGAGAATGACAACACTGGAAGTTTAGTTTCTGAAGAGACTCAAACAGCAATTCCTTCTTTACAGCAGAATTTAGCAAAACTAGTAGCATGAGAGGAATTCACCACCTTCAGGTTCATTGGCACTTTTTAATGACATAATTACTTTGCAGAAATCATTTTAAAGGTTTTAAATGATTGCCCCATGCACAGCGTTGTGGCTCCTGAAGCTGGCTTCCCATTCGTGCACGAGTGACAGGTGCATATCCGAAAGCAGTAATGCCCCTTTCACACTGATGGCGGTTTGACCGCACCGCAGGTGTAGTGCAGTGTACCCACAGGTTTGGTGCGGGTTAGCCATGCCTTCCCATAGAGTATTATTGTATCCTGCTGTTTCTGAAAACAACACTAAAAGTCTTTTTTAGGCTACTATGTCAGCTGATCCTGACAGTCCTGACACTATGGCCATTCCCAGGGATAGCAATTAAGCTCAACATGCCACCATAGTATAGCTGCATGTTAGCTTGTACTGCAGTCACACTGCAAACACTAACAGTAATGCCCCATACACACGATAAGAAAATCGTATGAAAAATGTTGTGCAACCACTGATCGAACGATTTTCTCTTCATCAATGAGCAGGATGTTTTAACCAATAACAATATTGTGAACGAAAAAATCCGGCTGAACAACAGTGAAAAATGTTGTCGTTTCGCATACAAACGACCAATTTTCTATGCGTTGGTATGAAGATCGTATGAAAAAAATCTATCAAGCGCTATCACGCATGAGCGGAAACAGAAGATGACCCAGATGTTTATGTCCAAGGAATCTTCGTAAACACAAATGAAAAATCCAAATGATACAAGTAGATTGGCCTAATGAAATAATGAAACCAGAATGATGCATATTATATTTTTATGTATATAGTTAATATATAATAAACTATATTATACTCATTGTTGGTAATTGTTGTGTATATCGCTTGTTCTGGCCGGAAGGGTGTGGAACGCTCGTCCTGGCCGGAAGGGCGTGGAACGCTCGTCCTGGCTGGAAGGGCGTGGAACGCTCTTCCTGGCCGGAAGGGCGTGGAACGCTCGTTCTGGCCGGAAGGGTGTTGAACTCTTTCTGGCCGGAAGGGCATGGCTACAAGGTCACAAGCAGACTGCATTACTTCCACTTGTACGGAAGACGTAAACACTACGTATTGCCCCACTAACTATTTTTTTACATTGGTTATTGTGGGCCACGATTTTGACCAATGAACGTCGGATGACCGATCGGATCGATTTTCTAATTGTGTATTCCCACCTTAAAGCAGCGTCGTCAGCTCATGACAGGAAGTTCCAGATAAGAATCAAGAATAGAAGAAAAACAAGCCCATAGTGCAAAATTAGGAGACACACAAGATCTAATGGTGGTTAGTTACCATTTCACAGATTTGTATTTATTTAAGCAGTAAGTGTAAACTTCTTTGGCAAAAGTATTTGGTGCTATCGTAGCAAATGCATACGTTCTGCAGAAATGCTTTTTTGGGATACTGCTAATATACTGTTTTACACTCAGTTTTCCTTTAATTCGAAGCCTAAGTTACTCAGATGAATGAAGCACTATATTCATTTTTCTCATATAAAACTACTCAGTCATCATTTACGCCTTAAATAATTGCCTTAAATAATTGCAGTGAGGGAATGTCATGGCTGATTTTATTACTAGCATTATTAATGTTACACGTTTCAGTGTGTTATTTTATTCTTAGAAACTTTAGTGGATCTAAAACGTGCCAAAGTTGCCATGCTCAATACATCCCTCTGCGATCATGGTGAAAGTCTTAGCCCTGTCCTTTAAAACAGAGGGGTTGATTTACTAAAGGTAAATAGGCTGCAAGCGCAGTTGCTTAAGATCCGAGGGAAATCTCTGAAATGAGGTGAAGCTCTGCTGATTTCTTTCATCCAATCATGTGCAAGCAAAAATGCTGTTTTTTATTTTCCTTGCATGTTCTCCTCAGATCTAGAGCAACTACACTTTCATGGCACTTGCAGTGCACAGCCTATTTACTTTTAGTAAATCAACTTGGGTGTTCCTCTTTAGACTTCTATCCATTGGGGGTTATTTATTAAAAATGGAAACTTACCTGGGCCCCATCCCGATCCAGCAATGTCCACGAGAGTCTTGGTTCTTCCGGGGACTCTTACTCCTGATTGGCTGAGGCAGCAGTCACAGCCAGTGAGCCAATCAGGAGAGGGAGGGGGTGGGGCCAATCTACGGCTCTGTGTGTGAATGAACACAGAGCCGTGGATCAGGAGTGCACCTGCTCGGGTGCCCCCATAGCAAGCTGCTTGCTGTGGGGGCACCCAACAGGAGGGAGGGGCCAGGAGCGCTGGATCCCGAGAAGTGGAGGATCCAGCTGCTCTGTGCAAAACCACTGTACAGAGCAGATAAGTATGACATGTTTATTATTATGAAAAAAAAACCCAAGACTTTAGTATCATTTTAATTGAACAAGCTGAAGTTAGAAGCTGATTGGCTACCATGCAGTGCTCCAGCTTTAGTAAATCTCCCCCACTGTGTCTTATTGCTCACCATGTATAAAAACTAAAGAAAGTAAAAATATTTTTTCACATGCAGCAATGGGTCAGATGCTTTCTTTCATCTACTCACTGAGAACAGACTAATCTGTATGATGTGGGTAACTCAGATCCCTTTCTTTCCTTCAGATGTTATAAAGTAGGCCAATAGTTCCACAAAATGAAATGTAATTCCACCAAGTGTTTATCCTGTACAGGTGCCATCCACTGCCAACACCCTTAGATGCCATTTGGATTACAAAAAATCTGAGTATTATTCAAAACTCAAAGCTTGATGGAGAAATCTGCTGTTATTATTAATGACTGCTACAGTGGCAACATTTTTCCACATCACAGTATAAACGGAGGACATGTAAGGGATGTTAACAGCAATATTAAAGCTGAACTCCAGGCAAATAACTTAATACCAGTTGAAAGGCATAAGTGGGAACTTGTCTTACCTGCAGTGGTGTATTTAGTTATTGTGCTGCCCTAGGCAAAACTACAATCAGGTGACCCCCCCCACCACACAGCCTCCACCATCCGCTACTACAGCCCATCACTGCAAATCTCCACCCATCCCACTGCTGCCACCACCGACCAACACCAAAAATCGGGCGCCCCCCACCCCACTAGCACCCCCCCCTCATTACACATCCTTCTCCATCCACTACTACAGCCATGTGGTAAATACGCCACTGGCTGGGCCCCTGTTGGCAAAATTCTTTTCTCTTTCTGTCCTGATGTCTCCTGTACAGGAAATGATGGGAAGTCTCCCCCAATGTACACACTGATGAAGATTATAACCCTATCCCACCGTAGCCAAATTTCTACTCTCTCAGAACAGTAATGGGGAAGTCCCTGAATGGCTGGAAGAGAGTCAACAGCTATATTACTGAATGTTAGTGTATTGGTCTCCTGAAGTATGGTTGCAGCTTTAACCGGACTAAAGACAAGTTAAAGTAAACTGATTTCCCTAGTGACATGGCATCATGGATGATTGGTTGTGTCCCTGATGACCACAGCATTGATGGCCTCAGTGTATTCCAGTGATGGCAGAGTCTGGGGAGCTCTGGGAGAGGAAGCTGTGTATTGGGGAGCACGCTCTGGATGGCAGGAGGCCGCCTAGGGCGAAGATAGGATGACGGCGGTTGAGTACTCCTGGAGGCTGCAGGAATTGCTCTTGCAATGTTATTGCAGCTCTGTGTGCTGGCAGATCAACTGCGGTATCGCCGCTGCTCTGGTCATGATGAACACGGCCCTGGGATATGTGGGGGACCCGTCCAGGGCAAGCACTAACTGGGCACCTACCACCAACACTGCCACCACTGCGGTCAGCACAGTACCTCCTTTGGCAGTAGGTGAGCTGTCACCCCACACTGTGTCACCTGTCACATCTGAAATTGTCACACATGGATGAAAGCAGCAGCCAGCCATCCCCACGCCCTTCAGCAGCACGCAGCCTCCTCAGATCTCTGACACTTGTATCCCTTCTTCCGAGGAGCGCCCCCCTCCCCCAAAAAATTGCCGCCCTAGGCAAATGCCTTGTTTGCCTTGTGGTAAATACGCCGCTGCTTACCCGCCAACTCTGTTCAGCCAGACAGTCATGGATTAGGGATCTCTACCAGCTAGCACACCCAGGTCATGGACCTCCCTGCAATCTGCATTACAGAGGAGCAGCAGCACACTGAGAAGGTTCTCTTACCTATAAACATCTTTATAGGATAAGGATGACAGCACTCAGCAAAGAAAATAGAGCTTTGTTTGGCTCAGACTGCTGCCTTTTCCATTTCAGAAGTAATTCTGTAAAAATATATAAATAAATAAAAGTATGGCAGTGTATAGACTACAATGTTGCAACATACCACCATATGGATTTTATTTATGGTTGACAAAGCTGTTACATGCTTCCTACATTACACTACATATATGTTATTACATTGCCATACAGCATTTAACCTCTCACCCCAGATCTCCTTACCCAGACAGTAAAAAGGTCTCCCATTCACACATGGCTGACAACTGAAATGTAACTGCTTGATTTATGTTTACGTCTTGCAAGACTAATTTAAATTAGTTGTACATAAAAAAGAAAACAAATGCAGACATGGACGCCAAATATTTTGCAAATAACATGTCTATGGCTTAATCAGTCATGTTCAGTCACTTACTTTTTTTTTTTCACGTTTCCACCCTGGATCATGTAGTTTATGTATAAGTTGCCGCAAGGTA